CGCCGTTCTCATTTATATAATTTCTGTACGTGGGTACAGCCCGAATACACCCTATTGGACCTTCATCTCATTAGTATACAGTCAGTGCGCTTAACCTCTCTGAGCACAAAAGGAGTGATATGTGAAGGAAAGAGGAAAAGACCCACGCCAAATCCGACGAGCATAGTTTAGAGCAACGCTAGCATACCTTCCGAATCTCTTCACCTCTGCGGAAGAACATCAACCGCACGAAGCTGGTGGCCTCTTGAATAGAGCACAATATCGCATATATACCCTTCTGCATGCTACAAGCCTCAGCAGTTCAACGATGTGTCTGTATGTATGTGTATATATGCTTATGTACACAAACTAATTTTTACTACAATTTACCGCATGACATTTGATTGTACATATTAATTTATATAAGAGCGTTTTTTAATTGCTGCCGAAACTACTAACAACCAATTTTAATTTAAATAATTTTATGCAACACTATAATGTTAAATAAAAGAAATCCCGTCTGTTGAACGATTGAGCTTCAACAGGATCGTTAAGAGGAAGCAAACACAGCTTATTAGTTGCTCGCTTTCTTGCTGTTTTGAGAACTGCAACGCGTGTGATGTCATCAGTTTCCTTCACCAATTAAACCATTCTAGCTCGTGGCCATTTCAGAGGAGTTAAGTTCTCGTCTGTGGCAAAAACGATGTCATTGAGGGCCACACCTGGCTTGGGAGTCCACCATTTGGAACGGTGTTGCAGAATATTTAAATATTCTTCTCCCCAGCGGGACCAAAAGACTTGGTGCATGTAGGACACTCGCTGCCAGCTATTTAGATGATTAAAATTGAGCCATGTCACATCTGGTTCTGTGAACGTTGTTTGTGGGCCACCAACCAAAAAATGAGCTGGGGTAAGAACATCAAGGTCTTCTGGATCTTCTGAAATGAGAAGCAGGGGTCTAGAATTATGTGGTACACAAGGGTACGAATCTCTTAGAATCCCAGAACAGTTAACTCCACAACCTGATTGAAGTGATGTTTTGCAGATTTTACCGCTGCCTCCCAAAGGCCACCAAAGTGAAGGGAGCTTGGTGGGATGAAGCGCCAGTCAATTGTGTCTGCCAAACAAATCTGGAGCACAGCCTCTTGATGACAGCTACTGAGGGAGTGATTTTTTAGCTCCAACAGCTCTATTTGGCGCCGACACAGTTGGTGGCATTGTCAGACCAAATCTGACGTGGCTTAAAGCGCTTTAGAGCATTCAGAAATGCACACGTGGATAGATCCTTGAACAACTCCAAATGAATGCCTTTCCTGGCGAAGCAAATAAATACGCTGATGTAGCATTTTATTGGAGCTTTGTTTTGAGTGTCAGTCTTGTAGAAGAATTGTCCGCAAAAGCCCACACCAATTATATCAAACGCTCGAGTTTTAACAAATCGCTCCTATGGAAGATTAGCCATAAGGTGCTCCACCAAGTGGGGCTTGTTCTGGAAACATCTGATGCATTTGTTTACAATTGTTTTACGGCCACCAATTTTGCGTAACTCCAGTATTGATTTTTCAAGAAGACAAGTCGCAGGCCAGCAACTTTGTGGACCAGTTAAAAATTCAGGACCACATGACCAAAGATTTGTCTGTATAAGCTCGTCGGGAGAGGCTCCCCTGGAGAGAATGTCAGCTGGATTACTGGCTGTTGGAAGATAATGCCTCTGGAAGCCCGCCGGGAGTTCCTGGATGGTGGCTATCCGATTTGCAACGAATACGTTGAACTTCGACGATTCATCTCGGGTCCATGATAGACATATGGATGAATCCCACCAACAATGGAATGTACCACATAAATGCAGGCTTCGTACGGGATGCTAGCGTCACAGAAACCGTGAACCTCTATATCGCACATTGCATTGCAAACCAAACGAGGAAAGGTGATAATTGGACATTTCTGAAAGTTTGGCAAAGTTCCTGCCAGGCAGTATTTAGAGAAGTTGGTAGACTCTCATCCAGATCCAAGTTTTCTTTCCAAAGAAGCTGCATAAACATTTTGGCCCAATTAATCCTAGTGAATCGTAAAAACGAGCTATAATGGACAGGACAGATCTCTTGCATAGTTTAAGTGTCTGTTTGGCAGCGGTGAGAGAAAACATTAATTTATCCGTTGAAGGATCCCACGCAAGGCCCAAGGTTTTTGTAATGTCGCTTCCATCGGAATTACTATCCTTGTCAGTAATGCCTTTTAGCACTGCAGATTGACTCGAGAAACATTTTCTGAGTTCAAAGCAACCTTAAGATAGAATGCCCTTTGTTTGATTTAATACGTGATCGCGTCTTGGACCGAGCCACCGTAAGAAGTAAGTAAGAAGAATTTTCGCACCATTTGGAAATGAATGTTGCTCGTCGACTGCCAATTGCTGCATTATTCGAACGGCAAGAAAGGAAGCTGGTTTTGTGCCATACGTTACTACTGTGTCCGACTTGACACTAATTTCAGATGCACTAGAATTTCGCCAAATGGTTGTATGACGGGCCCAGCCATCAAATCTTCATTCAGCGAACATCCAATGCTGGTGACAGCTGAACCATCAAACACGACACAAAGTTTGGTGCTTTAAATCCTTCAGTACGCAGTGATGTGGGAGAAAATATTTGCATAAACGTAACGACTATGGAGGGACAAGAGTCTTATGTCCGAGCTCCATATACTCTTGAATGAACGCGTAATACTGGGACTTAAAGTTGGGATGACGATGCAACTTTCTCTCAACCGATATAAATCTACGAAATGCCTGTTGGTAAGATTCACCTAATTGATCCAGAGTGAGTTTGAGAGGGAGTCGCACGGAATATTCTCCTGTTGGCAACCTTGGAAATTCTTAACAAAATGTTCCTCGCAGTCACGCTCTTCCTTTCTGTAGAACAAGAGGGGTAGAAGAGGGGGTTGAAGAAGCTACAGTAGGAGTGACAGAGTGAGGAATCGAAAGCAAAACGTTTAAATGCAGAAGTGTTTGGTGAGCGATGAGCGCAAAGCGATAAGCGCTAGATAGTTAACAGCAAATAAAATTGAGCTACTTTATAACATGTGAGAAGCGCAAAATAAAACAATATAGTGACATTGCTTGTCTTGCAGGGCAACTTAATTTAATGTTTAGCTGCCTAGCCGAACAATATTTTTCTGCTTGTAGCTCAATTTGGGCGATGCCTATGATTTTATGATTCCCTGAGCTATACCAGGAATGCCTATAGTGATGCTCAACTGGACATCGGAATCTTCTTTAAAACTTGAGATATCTGCACCTGCATCTTTTAAAAATACCAGTTTTTTTCTGATTCTACATTATAAAAAGATACAAAACTATTGAGATTGCAGCTTATCGAATCAACTTTTATCTTAAGTGTTTGTATTGTTATTGTTATTACGATTAAAACCTCTAGTTCCTCCTTTATGAATGGCGCAATTTTGCGTAAATGACTCTAAAGCTAATGTCAAGCTGTATTTGTTAACTAGCTCCGGGCTGATACCATTCCTGATATAACCTTCTTCAAGAGACTGGGTCAATTATTCCTCTTAGGTACAATAATTTACCGTTTTGCTCTCTTTCTGAAGATTAAGGATTTTTACAGATATAACTTCTGCAGATGCTCCTTTAACAGCTGTGGATAATTGATTAATGATGAATCAATTGTCTGCGTCATGTTTACTAATTTTATGTCTTCTAGTTGGTCGTATTCCATTGAGCTTGTCAAAAATGAGTTATCAAACGTTACTGGCGTGTTTATGCTGCAACTCATTAATCAAACTCGTGATTTTTTGTATTTACATACAAGAATAAGTGTGTTTAATTATGGTTGGTTTCAAAACTTTTAGTTAGTCACTCATAGGATTTATCGAATTTTGATCTGTGCAGCCTTATTTTTTCAACTATTTGGTACCATTTCATGTGGCACTGTCTTACTTATGTAGTCGCAGAGCGTTTAGTGTAAGCTTAACTATTGAATTTATATCTGACATTGGGTGCTTTATTATTATTTGCCTATCAAATCTTTTTAGCATATCCAATTTTAACAAAATACATTTTATGCTACTTAAATGGGGTTATATTTATAGAATTAATTGCGGTTCTTTATTAATTACACGATTTTTTTTTTTAATTTTTATTTCCTTACTCATTTTTAATTATTTATTTAATCACTGTTAATTATAAATGTTTTTTTTTTTACTTCATTTTCTTTAGATTTCCAGATTTTATCTGGATCATTAGCCTTACTTAGATATTTTGTTTTGGTCATTTATTGTGCAATTGATATAATTTTAAAAGCGAATTAGAGCACATAGTGTGGTAAGCCCTAAATTTACGCTATTTGGTTATATTTTATTGATTACATTTGTGTCTATCTTACTTATACAATTGCCGAGCATGAACAAATATGTTCTTTTTGGTAAATGTAATAAGACTTGTTTAATTGATAATCAAAATTTAACATATTTGATGTTGATTGTTTAACAATTTTTCTTTTAATGGCTAGTGTTTTGAATGGCTGAACAGGCCAAAGTCTTGCCGGTCGACTCAATGGGCGTCAGGCACTATACAATTTTTTAAAATTTAGTTATAATTATTATAGCCTGAACCCATTAAAAATGGGTATAAGGGTATATTGTATTTGTCCAAAATCCAAATGTATGTAACAGGCAGAAGGAAGCATCTCTGACCCCATACAGTATATATATTCTTGATCAGCACCAATAGCCGAGTCCAATATCGGACAGAGCTTAAAATTCTCAAAAAAAAAGAACGAGTACGTTCATCACATAAGGTAACTACAGTGAAAATTTCAGCTTCCTAGCTCTTACAGTTTGGGCGCTCAGTCGGTCAGGACAAACAGTGTTATATATAGAGATACAGAGTGTTCTTTTGAAGGCATGTGGGCTCGAAATGCTTCCAAATACGAGATGCCTCTTGCAACTTAATTTTTAAACCTTTGCTTAAAAATACTCCAATACTTAACATTAAATAAAATACTTACTATATGCGTCCCAAGTTATTGTTTCAATTAGAGGTTTTATTTGTTCATTTATCATCGCCATCTCGACCGCAATAAGCGCTCTCTCTGTTTCGTGCGCTCTCTCGTTAATGTCATTGCACCATTCTGCAATTCTCTCCAATTTTATACGAGCTTGCTGTAATATGAGTATGACAACTTATTGTCAAAACAGGCAATTGTATTTTACGCACCCAAAGATCTTCTTCCAAACTGAAAAACTTAATAAGGTTTGGAGTAAGTTCACATTCCAGCAGTCGTAACACTTTTATATCCTTAAGAGCGGTTTTAAGATTTTCGCTAAAATTTACAGAAATGTTGTCATTTTCATCACTTTTTAGCAGAGAAATTGCCATGCTTTCTTGAATACTGGCCCAACATTCAACAACCCATTTAGCTAGAATATTTTTAATAAAACTATTTACTTCCTGTAGCATAAGGTTGTACAGATCTAAGATGTTCTTTCCCCTTTCGTTTTCAAAAAGTCTAAAAATAAGAATATTACATCTATTTAAGACCTTATTACTTGCTTTGAATACTTACGGGTAATCATACATATCTGCGTCTCTATAAATGGCAGTAATACGATGACGAAGTTTATTAAGCAATGCGATTGTTCCTGAAGTTTTTGGAAAACAGTCGTCAGTTGGTATATCCTATTAGTATTGCATTGGAAGTAAGATTTAGTTTAATGATTTATTTAAAAATTACTCACCAATACACCTTTCTCAGTATACATCTGTTTAAGAATATTAAAATCCTCTTTAACATATAAGATTTCTTTCTCGAAATCGTCAACAATTATATGCATAAATGAATCAATATGAGCCCTTATTATAGGTCGAAGTAGTATTTGCCCACCAAGTAATAAATCATGCGAGTCCTCAAGAGCTTTTTCAAATTGAGTCGCTATCATTCTCTCTAACATATCTGTTTTTTGCTTAAAATTCAGACGATCTATTTCAAAAAGGGAATTTTCAGCTTCCGGATCTAAAGGATTGTACTGTATATTAGTCCATTCACGATAATAGTTTTTATAGTCTTCAACAATTTTTTCAAGAGCAGCAGAAATTTGACGTCCCTTTAGGCCACCTATCACTATTTTGTCCAACTTCATGAAATCACGGCCTGTATTGAACATCTCTTTAAGTTCATGAAGTCGGTCCATAAAGCCGTCTAAGCGTTGAAAAATTTTTGCTGCCTGCCATGTCCAGTCCTGTGAATTAAAGGTAGTACCGATTTTAAATTTTTTTAATGAGTTGCGGCATTCTCTATATATAGTTCTGAAAATAAAACATGAGTAGTTTACAAAATTGTGACCATCAGTACAACACTACAACTTACTTATAATATTCGAGGTGCTGTATGTTCATTATGATTTTTTTGTAAGCTTCCTCTACATCACCCTGAAACATGGAATCAGGTTCAATTGTACGAATTACGCATTCAATAAGTGAATTATGAAAAAGATTAAAGAAGAGTGTCATATTATCAAGGGTGTGAAAATAACGAGAATGTCCCCATACAAGTCCAACTGTTAGCATTAAGGGTCTTATATCCGGTCGATTATCATCCATTGTGTTCATTTCAAACTTATCAATTTTCTTTTTCTATAAGATTGTTAATATAATTCGTCAAGGAAATCTGGCAGTATTTAATTTCTTACCAGAGCTGCTAAACATTTTGTTATGTCCCGCGCCTCGGCTAAAGACTCCAATACTAGCTCAACAATTCTACGATAGGAATGCTCAAAAACTGATTGTATTTTCTCCAATACAAATCCAATAGTCTTGATTCGAATATCACCCAATTGATGCGCAAGATTCTCAAGGTTTTCTTGCCGAGATTCCCAGTATGCAAATATCGCTTCAGGTAGAGGATATCTTTCCGTCGAAAACAACTTGTCTGTTGGCTTGACACCTACGAGATTTTCCACAGAGTCCAACCATTTTACTACCATAAATTCAATTGAATGTTTCATCATGTGGTTAACTGAAGCATGCTCCCTAAAATTGAATTGTTAATGGTTTTCAAACGTTTGCATAGCTATGAACCGGAATTGTAATTAGTTATGCCGATTTTAGATCGGCCTACAAAAAAATACTTAAATATAGGGAATAGATATCATTTGGGCTAGGTTTTCCTCATTATTCAATAGATTATTCAATAGATTGTACAATAGAATTATATGCTAAAAGCCTAGTTAAAGAATACAATTTTCTAAATAGCATCACCGACCGATGGAGGTGTTTTATTTGCCAGTCCGGCCAGCTGTGCCCCTTTTCACAGCTAATTTTGTCAGTGACGCTATTAGAGCCTACATCTAAGCAGAAGGTTGTAAGTAGGAAAAAAGTGATCAAGTAAAATTAAAAATAATATTAATTTGCTATATTAATAAAGAAAATACAATAAATAGGAAAAAAAGAAAGTAAGAAGATTGTTAATAAAGTAAAGCAATGTAAGTTAGATAAAGAGGTTTAAGTAGATAGGACAAAGAGAAAAGTAATGGTAATTTCCCCGACCAGGTGGGGGAAATTTTTTCAGCCCGTCCGGCAAGCTATGCGCCTCATATCTGGGAATGTTCAGCGAGAAAACGTGATGCAAACTATTATAATTTTTACATAGCACGCGAAAATGATTGTGCATAGCGTAGTCTGTTGTCCACGTAGATGGTAATAAGGGGCGAAAATTTCTGGTTTGTCTAGCCGGAACAGAGAATTGAAGACGCCAATAATCAACTTATGTAGAAGGACAACACCGAGAATGTCCTACGGTTGGTTAACGACGGAAGGTTGAGAAGAAGCAGTCTGCTGGAGTAGGACGGCGACCGAAGATAAGGGTCCTCGTAAGGCAAAAAGCAGAAATTGCTTCTGAACAGATTCAATACAATCATGGCTGTTGTTATACTGTGGAGACCAGATGCAAGAGCAGTATTCAAGGATAGGGCGAACAAGAGAGATGTACAGAAGTTTTGTTATAAAAGGGATCAAGTTTAAAAAGTAAAATGTCATGGTGCACAGAGTCAAACGCCTTACTGAAGTCAGTGTAAATGACATCAGTTTGTATTTTCGAAAGGAAAGCATCATTTACCAAGGAAGTAAACTCAAGCAGATTGGTCGTATTTGACCGATTCTTTACGAATCCATGTTGAAAAGGGGAAACAACTGATTTGCAGAAATGCTGCAAATTCGAAGTGATTATTTTTTCAAATAATTTAGGAATAGCGGACAGTTTTGCAATGCCCCTGTTATTTTATCTATCAGACTTCCCACCTTTCTTGTGAAGAGGAATGATATAAGATTCTTTCCAAAGAGATGGAAAGACGGAAGTTTCAAGGGATAGATTAAAAAGCTTTAGCAATGGATAAAAAAGGGAAGAACTACACTCCTTGAGTAGACAACTAGGAATATTGTCCGGCCCAGGAGAGTAAGAAGATTTTAAAGAGTTTATAGGAGAGGGGGAGAGAAAGAGACTTTTAAAGAGCTAATAGGAGAGAGGAGTGTGAAATAATAGGGGGAGGTATAGAACTAGCGGAAGAAATAGTATAAAAGTAAGAATTAGTCTTAGGACAGACTGAAGAGTAAGTTGATTGGAAAAAATTAGCAAAGAGGTTAGCAGAATCAGTGTCATTGCTAGCTTTATCCATCCCAAGAAAAAAAGATGGCAAACTTGAAAATTTACGCTTCAAGTTTACAAAATTATAAAACTGTCTCGGATTTCAGGCGAATTGCTTTTTACAACGAGTTAGATAATTCGCATAGCATTGAGAATTAAGAAGAAAGAAGTTCGACTTGGCTATGGAATATTTAGCCAAGTCTGTATACGAACCAGACTTTTTAAACTTTTTAAAATATTTGGATTTTAAATTTTTTAGATGTGATAATCTGGGAAAACCAGGGTGGTTTTGAAAAAGTAGTCGAAGGAATTGACTTAGGAATACACACATCTAAGAGGGAGGTTAGGGTGCCATAAAAAAATTAATGGCTGTATCAACTGAGTCATATAAGAAAGACCAATTGGTTGAATAAATAAGCTGATTCAGCAAAGAATAATTTCCTTTGCGAAAGCAATAGCGGGGCTTATTGGCTGATGAGCACGAAATGAAAGGATTACAATTTAGCATTGTAATCTCTAAAGTTGGATGGTAGACATTCATATGATTAGAAACTGAATTGATTTGAAACAACGAAAGATCAAGCATCAAGTCTACAAAATCGTGCTGTGCTGAGGGCACTAGATAATTTTCAGCAGTGAATAATCACCAAGAGATGTTCGCCTATTAACATCACCCAACACCATTAATATGTCATTATCACGCAAGTGAGAAGAAGCTTCTTTAATACAAGTAATATGATTAATATAAACTTGAATATCAGAAGAAGGTGGGACATAAGAGCATGTTACATAGATATTCCGTGTAGGAAAAGACACCTTAACGGAGACAATCTCAGCGTCAGTAGGCGTACTAAAACAGAATAGTTCAGACTGGAGAGTGGCTTTAACGGCAATTAACACCCCACCACCTCGAGTCGGGCGATCATTTCTAAACAAAATAAAGTTATTCGGTAAAATCTCAAAATCAGATATGGTTGAGTTTAACCATGTTTCTGAAAATGCTATTATATCCGAATCGAAGGAAGTGCTGGTCATGAAAAGATTTTTAAGCTTTGAAGTGAGACTTCTGACATTCTGATAATGAATAAAGATTTGGTCAGAAGATGAAGCTAGTTTTTTGGGGCAGAAATGGTACCCTGTATTGAAGGGACTGGAAGGGTGACAGTCTGGTTACCCTTTTTAGGCTTGAACTCATGAACAATCATGTGTGGAGGCCAAAATTTGGGATCACAAATGATTGGGAACATATCATGTGAAACATTTATTTTGAATGATGATATTTCACGAGGGGTGGAGAAATTAAATTTGGTTATTAACACGCTAGCAGAAGATTTGCTAGCAATATATCTATTGTAAGTGAACAAAATCACTACACATCAACTCAAAGCTCAACATTTGTCAGCGGTGTGTACTCAGCCACAATTGTGGGTACTTTATTAGTACCAACGAAAGTCGAGACACCAAAACTTGCCTACGAGGGGCAACTACCGTTAAAGTAGGCGCTGATGGGGCTGTAGGTAATACAGGAGTTGGAGGAGCTAACGAGGCACAATGATTGTTTTTAACAATCTGGGCAAGATTGCGCGCAGGTCTACCTTTGCGGCCAGGAGCTGACGGGGCTGAGGCAGTTTGATTAATTGGGACGGGATCAGGTACGGGCTCTACTGGGACTAGTACAGGGGTTGAAACAGGGGTAATTGGACAGTCGCTTGGAGAAGGCGACAAAGACAACATTGGAGATACCTGCAAGTTGCTAGGAAGGGACAAGAAAGTCGAAGGTGTCTGAACAGACGTAGAGGGCAATTGCAAAAGTTGAGGCTCCAACCGGCGATTGGTTGGGGACTCAAATTTATATTTGCCAAGCAACTCGAAACTCGAGTCAAAATTACTCGAGAGCTGCTTAGCCACATTATTTAATTTCAAGAATTGACGTCTCACAGAATTATACATTCTGGAGAAATCAATTTGCTTGTCGATGCACGAGCAACGCAAGACACCGCAGCCCTTCTTGGCAATAGCAGCGATAATGTCGCAATCACCCCCAGTGAGACCTGCACATTTAGCTTGCATCATATTCTCACACAGCCAGCAATTAACAAATTGCGGCAGCGCCGAATGAATCGTCAGCCTGCTTGAACGTGCACGGTTTCTTACAGCACGACATAATTATTAAATGCGTATGCAAGTTGCGAGAGCGAGGAGCAAAACGAAAACGGTGCACAAGATAGAGCAAGTAAACACTCAAACAATTATTCGTACACAAACAAATTGTTTGGTGCGAAAAGCAATAAAAAAAATTTGCGAGAGCGCGATGCACAAGAGAAAGTATGCAGCGAACACACGCACAAACAATGAAGTAATAAGTGAGATAACAGAAGAATATGCATTTTATACCAGCTGCGACAAGGCTTGCAAAGATTGTTAAAAAAAAAACAGCTGTTTACGGCCTCCAACTGATTGAATTTGAATGCTTGTGAATAAAAGTGCAGGGTCGCGGGGATTATCCGCTGTGGTGTAGGTTGGGGTTGGTTGATGGGTGCTGCTGTTTTGTTTTCTCTTGTAGAAGTTGATATTTTTCCTCGTAGAAAAAAAAAACACGTTTGTTTCACTATAAGGCTATTGTGAATATGATTTTTTGATCTGGTTCTAGAGTCAGAGCCAACTTGTGAAAATATGACGCCCGCCTTGCAATACTGCATAGAAAAAGGAGAAGGTAGTGGCTGATTTATTGGTGAGCCCAGGATCCGAACAGTATCCACACGAATACAGTATTGTGGTTAATAGGTGCACCGCCATGGCTTTTTAGGTTGCCTTGGAGAATTAGCTCAGGATAAATGTCGAGCCCAATACCTGACTTGATGTCTCCGCCTGGAACCAGTGATCTTCTACCAATCGGACGTTATTTTGGAGGTACAACAGGGTGTGATGGTCGCCCTGGCACTTGCGACACTTCCCTTGACGACTCCCCGGACTTCTGATTGGCCGGGCAATTTGCTATTACTATTATATTACTATTTAATATTACTATTTGCTGACCAATACTACTACTCCGGAGGGATCGGAACGAATTCGTTGCCGTGCGGCTCTTAGATCGTCCTTGTTGGCGTTGAGACATCGTGCTGTTACGTGTTACGGCTTTAGATGGATCGATCTGATGGTTCTACCGGGAGTAGGATAATCTTCGAAATAGACAAACCTCGGGCTGTTAACACGTCGACCTCTCGGATTCTTTGGTCATCGCCAGGATAGGTCGTTTGGATTCAACCCAGACGGTTGTACATTTTTCGTTGGAGTTTGCCATTTGTTTCTTTTTCGTAGTTCGAAAAGATAGTCATGATTCCAACGGAGGCAGAACTGTTGTTGCAAAGCGTACAAGCACTGCCATCGGCTG